CGGATGAAGGAGGAATATTTGAATGTTAGATATCGTAACACATGTTTAACAAATACCGTGTATACTAATAGTTTCTACAAAATCGTGAGAATAAGTGTTAACTCATTCAAAGCATAGCCTTATTTTATGTTCTTTAACCTTGTCACAAGTACTCCCTTTCTAAATTGAACTAGAAGACCCAAGAGTAATTAATGTCATGTGACCTGTTTACTCCCTATATCTTCTACAATGACGAAAAATTCCTTCCAAAGAAAACATGATCGTAAAAACTACACACTATCAACAAGGGTAGGGTGAAGATATAGAGGGAACACCTACCTACGTGTACGGTTGCGAGAACACCTATGTATATATACAATCTATAACTAAGGGAATTTTATTAACATTGTTCCTCTAAAAGTATAGTCTTATTCATGATTTCTGAACTTAAACCTAAATCTGGATCTAACTGATAGCTGGAGAGTGGTCAGCTGCTGACCTGGGTACATAATGACCAAACCCCCCTGATTTCAATACAGGCCCAGTGAACCATAAAGATCCCACCCTTGGTAGTGTAAAGGATATAAACTTATACAAAAACTCTAGGACACCTCGTATGGAAGGTAGAAGACCGACTATTCATTCTCCACATTCCAACATAAGAAGGCTTGACATAAAAAAGGCCCTAGCCACTTCTTCTCTCTCCCCTGTGTACATTAACAACAGTACAGCCTAGACCGGCTCCATTATACCAACAATAAAACCCACTGCAATCCTTCTACCCCACTTCCACACAAGAAATTTATACGCTGTGAAAATCACAGTTACATTACTGTCTCAACAAAATTGAATCTTGATCCGTCTGTTTTCAAAGAGAACTATTTTGAATGTGAAAAGATAGAAAATTTGGGCATGAACAGTTTGTACAATGCCTTAAGATAAACCCTATGAGCAGATCTATGTGAAACGATGGCAGTATTTTCAATTCAACTTAGTAAAAATGTTACATAAAGACGAGATAAAGACAAAGCAAACATTCTAAAGCTGAGGTACAAGAGATTGGCACGATAAAAATCTAAATGTTTACTTTACATCAAAAGAAACTATTAAATCGGAATGTTTTGAATAAAATGTTGCCTTTATAATCCAAACTTCTATGACACAGCTATATTTGAAATTTGAAAAAAGAAATCAAGCCGTAAACTGTTGAAAAAGACTGTCCTCAGGTTTTTTAAAGCGATAATTGTCAATCTGATTATGTTTCAAACTCCATTCATTAGTAATTCTAGCTATTAAAAAATATGTAAAACTCCCAGCCGGTCTAGAAGTTCGCAGCATGTGTGGTCCGCTTACAAAAGCTGTCATTGTCGAATACCATGACCTGTAGCGATTGCTTTATCAATACCGCGGTATACCTGGAGCCAGTGTTCAGTCATGGCTCTGACTAACAATACACCGATCAACGTCTGTCACACACATGTCCACAGTCAGTTCTGTTCAATTATGCATAATAACTTTTAAAAAACTGTTTGTAGGTACATACACAGCTTGTACTTTGGTTGACAAGTTTTTCATGACAAAATCCTATTACTTTTTTTATTGTAATTGTGAAACCTGCATAAACGGACCACCCTAGCTGTCGACCTACTGTCTATTCTTTGTGGAGTTGAATGGAGACTCTGTCTTTATATATATACACATATATATCACCCTCCTGATCATTGCCATGTTAAAATGCATACAATGAACCTGCCTGCATATCTCTCTATTTAATAAACCTGTCTACAGTGACCAATACATATATTATATCAATTAAACCTGTCTATAGTGACCACCACATGGATCATATCAATTAAACCTGTCTACAGTGACCACCACATATCTCCCCATATATTACACCTGTCTACAATGACCACCACATATCTCCACATATATTACACCTGTCTACAGTGACCACCGCATATCTCCCTATCTGATCTATTGCACCTATATCATCTTTGTAAAGAAGCAGTACTTTCCATGGTCAGATATATAGATTACCCAAGTAATCATTCCTTTATTCTGCTGTTAAAGAACATTTCTATAGCTATAGCTATCTTCCAGCTTTCCTAACTGCCTATTCCATTGGACTGTTGTTAATGAACCTCTCAGACCACCCTAGTGTCTGTTCCATTGCTTTATAGAGAACCTATCAAATGTGACCTGAACTCGCTGCCCTCTTGTTATCTATGATTGCTTTATACTAATTTATAAACACCACTTCGAACTCGTCTATATAGTGACCATATTTCCAACATTTTACTGTATTATCTCATATTATCCTCTTATATTAGTCCTAGTTTTCATGTGTGCTTCCTCACTTTAATTGTTCAGATTTATGAAATTTTAATTTAAAATTTGTAAGTATCTTTACTAATTTTAAAAACAAAAATTTACAAACTAAAGTGAACTTGCATCTATTTTTTTATTCATTGTCCCATGATTTGATTTTATTACAAATCCATGCTCACAAATTATTTTTACATGCATGACAATATTTTTCAATATATACCCAATTCATTTGAATCAAATAATTTTTGTGTCAGTAAATGTTTGAACTCAAGTCGAAAGTTTTTGAATAAATTTATAACCCGATACACACATCTTGAGTAAAGTCATGTATTAACCCTTGCACTTGGGTTACAATACAGGTTCCACAACACCTAGCTCCTATTTTATAGGGTTACTGCAACTCCGGGCATAATAAAAACAAAATAAATATTTTAACAAAAATACCAGATGGTGTAGATGTTATAAACTTTACATTCAAGAAACTGGGAGCATATGGGTATTTTATCTTGGATAACCTATCTCCAACTTACACACAAAACATTTCCCCAGCGTTTTTCCGTTTTTACGACCATCATAGAGATCCTATGAGGCAAGTCTGCATATAAAGGTGTTTGAGTAAGGTGAGTTCACTATCCAGTAGTTAAAAACAGTTTTTAGCATCTGCTGTATCCTATACCTTTTAAGACCTGGCTTTTCCTAAATAGACAGAAAGATTTTCACACAAAGGGGTTCACACAACTCAACCTTTCGCGAAGGTGGATAGAGAAAAAAACACGAGCCAGCAAACATTACACCAGAAGCCTTAAATGATATGTCAAACGCCAGGCGTACATTCAGTGCACCCTGCGTAAGGTCCCTTTTCCAAATTTGTTTTGCACTCGAGTAACCAATTTAATCCTTTATTAATACAAAAATTCAATTGATACAGGAGTTTTTTCCTAATTTGAAAGTGTTTAAGAAAATTCTCTTTGATTTAAAATTCAACACATCAATTACATTTTTTTAAATCTATGATATTTTTTACCTAATCGATAAATAATCAAGCAATGATCTAATGCCCAACTCTGCCATCAAACTAATGAATGTTTCAAAAGTAATTAACTAAACAATTGAATATTTATCAAAAATTGGTCTGATCTGAGCAGCTGACCTGAAATTTGGAGTAAAAGTGCAAAAATGAAAAAATAAATTACACTTTTAGGATATTTCTAAAAACACTAATATCTGAGTTTCAGGTTTTATGTTGGTTATTTTTCTTTTTTCTTATGTAATATATATATTAACTTCAACTTGATGTTAAAGCAAGATATCTATCTTTAGGTATTGAAATTTGTTTGCCAAAACAAAAAAAGGAAGAAGTATTCATGGTTTATTAAGACTAAATTATAAAATAAAAAATCTATCATGTATTATATAGGTTTTCAATTTCTATATTACATTCCCAATTAAAAGTATAATATTAATCGATTTTTTTGTTTGTTCAAATATTTATTTTAAATATTTTTACATTGTTCCTTTTACATTTATCCAAACACATTTTTTACATTGTTCCTTTTACATTTATTCAAACACGTTTTTTACATTGTTTATTTTCAAAATATTAAAACAAATTTGTTCCAACAGTATACCCTATACAATACATTATTACAATGTTATACTTTTAATCATTTTATTACAATGAATTAAAAACATTTTTTAATGTAACTGTTTATCAAAAAAAAATATGTTCATATCAAACAATGTACTACTATACAATGTATATAGTTATATACCACTGTGGAAACTTCTGTGTACTGTGTGTATTAAAACTAGTCTACTTTAAAATATGTATCAAAATCCTGAAAAAAAATCTATAACATCATCCACTGGTCTGTTAATAAAATTCAAATATCAGAGAGGCACAAAAGGAATTTGATACCAATATGTTTATAACCTGAAGTCTGAAGAACAGACGGTCAGGTTCTAGTTTTATCGGACTCCCGACTCCCATTCCTATCGTCGATCATTTTTATAAATCCATGTTTTGTACGGTATATTCACAAATAAACTTAGTAAAATTCAATTATCCAGCATTTGAAACTCGACAATCCCATTCATTCTGCACACAACACAGCCTTTCTCCCCCGACCTGAATTTGCCTTACTATCAGAAAACATAATCTCGTTAACCGTGGCGAAGAACAGTTATACATATATACTCGTTTCCCGGCTCGAGGGAGAATTTTGTTGTTTTGCAGTGAACTTCCACTTCAGAACACCGTGAACATGCCATAAAATGTATGTTAAAACCAAACCGTCAGTATCGCGAACTAAAACTCGCCCGGTAGCCGACGCTATATGGTATATAATATATTAGACTCGCCTACAATATAAATATTGAGTTTATCGATCGGATTAAGGCTGATTTACTTCAGAGTACGAAGGGCGCTAAATTCAACTTTCAATTATCGTAATACATTTCTTTAAACCAAACCCCGGTGAAACATACCATCGGGAAAGCGGTATTTGGTGAAATAATGAGCCAGTGAACATTGCTTCCAAAAATAAACCCAGGACCACACACCGCCAATATTTCGTTTCTGGGTCACAAGATGGCGGACGCCCGATGATCAAATGGCACTTCAAAACATAGCGAAGGTTTTGTTACCATGATAAGACAGAAAATGCAGAAATGTACAAGTAAATCCTTACCTTCAACCCATAATTCCTCGATGTTGGTTTCTATTTTAGCCGTTTTCAGACCAACACAACACAATGAGAGAAGCAATAATCCCACAAAAAGAACTTTTCCACAATGTAAGTCAATGAAACTGCCGATGGCAAACAAGTAATTTTGCAAGTGACATCGTAACCACAGAGCATTTTTGTTACCGTCCGCTTTTCCCTGTTAAAGAAAAAAACACAATATAATGTCATATTTATTTCATTCTCAAACACACGAGCAACATACATAATTCATATACACGAGATTTTATTGAGTATACATGTATACACCGGCGTATGGTTGTATATAAATTGACTTTTCTCCCCGGGGCGACAATTGAGGAACGTGTCTGTAATTCTTATGAACAAAGTTAGGAAAGTTTTATCAATGAAATGTCTTTGCAAACGTGCACTTGTTGATATCAGTGAAATATCATCAATCATCCCTCGGGTGAATGGTTCGACACAATGCTTAGATTTGGCGTGTCAGTCGACACACGGGATTGGGGCCATGCTAAATATTCAACGTATTGTTGATCTTTTGGGGACTTGGGAGGTTTCTTTCAAAAATATCTAAACACTTTGTAAACATCTTAGACCCGATTTGCCTCCGTTGGGGGTACAGCAGCAGTATTAGGCCCTAGAAGGGGGACCCTTGACTATTTACCTCGTAGCTGATGTATATATATAGAGAGGCCCGACAATTTGGATGGGGAGCGCGGAGCGGTTTGGTGTTTACACCAGTTCTACATTAAAGCTTACCTTTTTGACTTGTCTATAAGCCTCAGCTGCATTTACCCAACTAGTCCTTGTAAACAATTCATCCTCAAACTCTTTGTTGTTTCCCTTTCTCCGAACCGTCATCGTGGCTCCCTGTAACGGTGGGGGAAAACAGATCACATTGGAGTAAAGTCGTCGTCTTACCCTCTATCCCACGTGGTTAGTCGTACAAATATAACAATTTCCAAGAGGAACAGTAACAACATTATACATGTTTAACTTCACACATTCAAAATGCTTGTTTAGTCCAGATTTCCATTCCGAATTCGACATAGATTCAAGTATAAATCGTATCCCAACGCATGAACCACTCATCCGATCTCTCGTCTTTCCTTACGTTCTGCCTGTAACAGTTCAGTATTTGCATTAGGGCTCCGCCTTCGGGTCATGATTGACACGATAAGATCACCCATATCTTTACGCCGATTGGCTGAATTTAAATGGGACTGCTCAAATAACAGCAGCCCGACATTTGTTGCTTAGCAACTGGTTTGCCACAGAGAGAGGACCACCCAAGAAGTTGGAACCTCCACCACGGCAAATAAACAACATTCTTTGTATATGTCGTCGTGTACATAATTGTGGCCCGGTCTAGCTATTCGAGATGTCACGAGCTGCTGCTATTGTCCCACCTAGAAAGTCTTACAGTTTTATGAAGTAAAATGTTTTAATTCACTATCAACGTGATCTCTAAACAGAAAAAATATATTAATTGCGACCTTATTTCGTTCTTTTCCCAGAAAGCCGATAACAAACATTTATATTAATTTAATGTTGAATTTTATCTAAGTGGTACATGTATTTTCCTGAATGCGAAAAAATATAGCTTTCAGTGTGTATTAATTTGATAATACACTGTAGACAATATGAAGGCTCTGTGTGCGGTCCCGTCGTATCTTGATATATGTAACGGATGGAAAAGCCCTGTTAGCTTTTGATGTATATTTCATCCGGAGCTACTACAAAATTGTACATCGGTTTTATACGAATATCGTGTAAACACAAGATATTTCTGATTTCTCTCGTTTCATATCAGTAAGAAGGTGAAAGTCTTGACTTGTGTTTCGCTCAAAGTAAAATTAAAAAGGAAAGATTTTAAGTATTTTTAGCATGCCTATTACCGCACATCATCAATTAATCCCCGTATTTATAATAAAAGTTTACTCATATGCACTTGATATTACCTGTCAAACTGCTTGAATTAATAACAAGAAAGGGAAAATACGATGGATAAAAGACTATTTATGAACTATTTGGTAGACTTATGACACCTTTAGTCAAAGGCACATGCTCACAAAATATTATGGTTTTAGAGGCACACATTTATATATTGTTTAAAAAGGGAATTAGAATTAATTATGAAATAATCTATTTTACATGATTTAAACATGGTTGGCCCCATCCCTCTCCCTATGTGAGTACGTTGTGTTTACCGCACATATAAGCCCACCCGGGAGTTTAGAAGACCTACTTGACCGAAGAACGGAGAGTTGGTTGAACAGTTTCTTTATAATTCTGCCTTCCTGTATTCTATATCAGATTAAAAGCGCCGTTCTCGCCAGCCCAGCTCTCTCGGTTTTATCTCATTATACTTGATTGAATAAAAAAGCCGGCGAGATAAAAGTGAAGGCCTGCTCTTGTGGAGATTATAATAATTTTGACAGCCGATCGAACCAGTGTATCTGCCGAGGAAAACAAGTTCCGTTGAATTAAATTGAATAACAGTATACATAAAAGAATTAATCATTTCATCAGCGAAAATAACTCGTGCCGAAGTGGATTTGAATCTTATTTAAGATCGGGTTTAGACATTCCAACTATAAGAAAAAAGACGGGATACGAACTAATTCAAAGTAATACCGCATCCATCGGTATGAAATGGACAAAGCAATACCAATGTTTATTAACAACTTCATACATAAAGAAATGTCAAGATTTACAATCTGAGCGCTATAATTAAGCTCAGATTTGAAAACAATCTCAAATAATCATTTTTTTATCTGAAAATTCTTATAACAATTGAAAACATTTATTCAATTTGGTGGTTTCGTTTTAAATAGATCTGTTTTAAATGTTTTCCCTCCCCTTCGGCACGATCGCTGAAACATTGATGAATCGTATTACTCTTTAAACCTGTTATAGGTCTGACTTTTAGACGCCATTTGGGATTGTCTTTTAATAAAATTGATCCATGGTTTTGGAAAAAAATATTTTTTAAAATGCAGTGAAATCTTGTGAGGTGAAGGAACTGACATTTCCAAAGGGCATAACTAAAACGAGAGTAAATAATCAAAATTGCGTAAAAGAATTTGGAGATAATCAGATCGTTTAAATGTGTGTGTTAATAATGGTAACTCTCGCCGTTTCGCTGATGGTTTAGTGCAGCAGTCCTGATAGACGTGGACCAAGTGATTATAATCATATCTCTTCATAAAAATTGAAATTGGCAACAGAAAATGAATCATAATGTTATGTGAAACTTGTCTCAATTTTTAAATTCTCTACAGGATTTTAAGCATTCCTTTACACAGGGGAAACATTACCCACTAACACATGTTGTACATAACTAATTAAACACTATCATGGAAAACAATTTAAATGTGTTGTCTTTGCTCAAAATTAATGATGAATGCGACAACCCCAATTGTCCATTATGTGTTCACTCGGTGATGAATACACCCCAAACTGTCAAACTACATCTGCCCTCAAACTGTCCTTCGCTTTGCTTCCACTCGGCGAAGAAAACACCATGAAACTGTCCAAATATGACTTCCAAATTATCCATTGCTTTTTCACTCGGCTAAGAGCTCGGCGAAGAAAACACTCTGAAACTCTCCAAACATGACTTCCAAAACCTTCTATCGCCTTTTCACACGGCGAAAAAACACCCTCATACTGTCAATATATGACCAAACTATCCATTGCTCTTTTACTCCACGAAGAAAATACCCTGAAACTCTCCAAACATGACTTCCAAACTATCAATTGCTTTTTTTACTCTGCAAAGAAAACACCCTAAAACTGTCCAAATATGACCTCCAAACTATCCATTGCTTTTCTACTCCGCGAAGAAAACACCCTGAAACTGTCCAAATATGACTTCCAAACAATCCATTGCTCTTTTACTCCACGAAGAAAACACCCTGAAACTCTCCAAATATGACCTCCAAACTATCCATTGCTTTTTTACTCCGCGAAGAACACACCCTGAAACTGTCCAAATATGACTTCCAAACTATCCATTGCTTTTTTACTCCGCGAAGAAAACACCTTGAAACTGTCCAAATATGACCTCCAAACTATCCATTGCTTTTTTACTCCGCGAAGAAAACACCCTGAAACTGTCCAAATATGACTTCCAAACTATCCATTGCTTTTTTACTCCGCGAAGAAAACACCTTGAAACTGTCCAAATGTGACCTCCAAACTATCCATTGCATTTTTACTCCGCGAAGAACTTGGCGAATAAAACTTCCAAACTATCCATTGCCTTTTTACTCCGTGAAGAAAACACCCTGAAACTCTCCAAACATGACTTCCAAACTATCCATTGCTTTTTTACTTCGCGAAGAAAACACCCTGAAGCTGTCCAAATATGACTTCTAAACTATCCATTGCTTTTTTACTCCGCGAGGAAAACACCCTGAAGCTGTCCAAATATGACCATTGCTTTTTCACTCGGTGAACAAAACACCCTGAAGCTGTCCAAATATGACTTCTAAACTATCCATTGCTTTTTCACTCGGCGAACAAAACACCCTGAAGCTGTCCAAATGTGACTTCTAAACTATCCATTGCTTTTTTTACTCCGCGAAGAAAACACCCTGAAGCTGTCCAAATATGACTTCAAAACTATCCATTGCTTTTTCACTCGTCGAACAAAACACCATGAAACTGTCCAAATATGACTTCTAACCTATCCATTGCTTTTTTACTCGGCGAAGAAAACACCCTGAAGCTGTCCAAACATGACTTCTAAACTATCCATTGCTTTTTCGCTCGGCGAACAAAACACCCTGAAGCTGTCCAGATGTGACTTCTAAACTATCCATTGCTTTTTCAGTCGGCGTACAAAACACCCTGAAGCTGTCCAGATGTGACTTCTAAACTATCCATTGCTTTTTTTACTCCGCGAAGGAAACACCCTGAAGCTGTCCAAATATGACTTCTAAACTATCCATTGCTTTTTCACACGGCGAACAAAACACCCTGAAACTGTCCAAATGTGACTTCCAAAACTGTCTATCGCGTTTTCACTCGGCGGAGATAACACCCTCATACTGTCAACATATGACTTTGAAGTTGCAAATTGATTCTATGATAAGTAACAACGCGATAATTTGGAGAGCAAATGGTGAAAATACGAAACTAATTAGATAATATGTAAAGCTGAAGTCATGACCCCTGAATGACACTTTCTACTAATGTTAAAAGAAGCATACTTCAAAGCCGAAAGAATCCCACTTTGTCATCAAACAAGAACGTATAGCTGTTTGCAACTTGTGATCATATTATACAATATTCTTCGACCGAGTGCTCTGTGATGTATTCAATGACAACCGTAACATTTCAGCCGATTATGTTATCTTTTACAGGATAAGCGTTCAATTCTCAAATTGCTGGATTTGACCATAGCATATTGCACAGGCAATCATGCTGATGAACCATTAGACCAAATATGCAGTTAAAGTATGTTTATAAAGAACTTAGGGGGAAAATAACTGATACAGTGCCGCTTAACATTTCTAAAATATGTTCTACGAGAACAGTTCCAGAAAACTATGTCCCCAATGTCACACAAACAAAGTTACTCAGCTAAAATAAAGTGACCAACGATATATATCCCTGACAAGGTAAAGTGGCCGAACAACGCATTCAGTTGGGTAAATAAGAACGATAAGTACAATGTATAACAAAATTCCGTTAAGGTTAGAATGTTTAACGTGTATTCAATTAATATAGAAACAAGGTTATGGCAGCAAATCATATAATAGACATTTTAATTAAAAATGATCATTGCCATGTGTTGGTAAACGCTTAATTGGCGTTTTAATTAAAATGATCTTTGTCATGTGTTGGTAAACGCTTAATTG